TTCCTAAGGATAAATACATCAGATAAATACAGGTAACATTCTCTTGGGTATCAATGTGAATACCACTTTAGAGTAAAACAGGGGTCCAAGGTATCTGGTCCATAATCAGAAAATTATGGAACCCGGATCAACCATGTAGGTCACTATCGCATCATCGCACTATCGAGCTTTTGGTCACAGGTGCGATGTTGCCAAAACAATCATGAATGGAGCGATAGCACGATAGCGATGATGCGACAATGCAGTGCCGATAGTGCGATTGCACGATGCATCGATGGTGCGATAGCGATGATACTATATGGCGATGAAGCGATTATCACTATCGTCGCCATCGCATTGTCATCATCATATCCTCGCATCATTTTTCGTGTCAAATATTCATTTTCGGTTATAAAAATATCCCGTATTTATAAAAGTAATAATCACTATATAGGAGTATTTTAATTCCTGAAAAGAAATGTTTAAAACGCCAAGTGTTTGTAAACATGATTTGTGATATACATTATGTATTGGTCGATTCATGCATGAACCTTGGTTCTAAATAACATTTCTACTATATTTTAATTACGCATTATTTAGTACATTAAAAGTTTAATTCTTTTACATTGAAAATTGAGGGACCTTATTTCAAATTAACCGAATTTAATTATATTTGTGTGCCAAGATATACTGAGTATATAACTGCTGAGACAGTTAAAAGAAATAAGTGCGAGAATTTGTTATTTCGACATAACATTACCTGCATTGCTTTTCAAATATAATATATGTTCTGATATTTTCAAAGAAGCCGGTTTTTTTTCGACTTTGAAAAACAAATCTATTTCAGTCTTACTTGACAATAGGGTATGTGAAGTTCACACCAGGTTTCATATCCCGGTAACAATTGTGTGCAGTAGGCGGGATCGGGGACGCGTTAGGATCCAAAGCAGCTTGTCTTTTGTGTAGGAATGTTTTAGCCTCGTGTTCGGGTACTTCCGGGAGATACAGAGAATGGTGATGATTTCCATGACCAAACACTGATTAAATTAATTATAAAATATTAATTAAAAAAGAAAATTTTCAGAAAAAAAGATAAGGAATCAAAATAGATATACTTACCGGATGAAATAAAGCCGAAAACCAAAAGTAACGTCAGCATTGTAAGAACTGTTTTTATTTCACTGCAATGTCTTTATCTATATGTTTAAAACACCATCCCGGAAGAATATATTTCAGTGTGTGGAAATAATAGGTTTAAAAGGAACCAATCGCCCTTTTGGAGTTATCAGCAAACTGTTTACCGTTAAGCTCTTTAAAGAATTTCTTCTTTTTTAAAAAGACCTTATTGCATTTTTTTTTTTGTAATTTCAATATCGATTCATTGTATAGATAGTTAAATTACCTAAGGATCAATAAACGAATTTCGTGCCGCATTTAAAACACCAATCACTATGTGTATGTTAACAAAAGAGCTCAAATACATACAGGGTCAAGCTTTGATTTGTATGATAAGAACATATATCCAGTAAGACTTAATGCTCTTTCTTTACCCCCCCCCCCCCCCCGATATGTCTACGCTATTATGAATGTATTTAAACCCCCCTTAATTTAAACAATTTTGGGGCCCCTCTATCTTCAATTCATGGATCCGCGCCTGATTAGGCCTTCTTAGTGTCAAACACAAAGACAGACGCACGACATTTACATGCATTAGGCCTCCTTAGCGTCAGACACAAAGACAGACGCACGAGATCTGCAGCTGGTAAAATGATCAAGAATTCAACTCACAGAGAAAACAATTAGAAATGGAAATATATTAAAATATTTAGTCCTGAAAAATCTTTGAAGATCTTCTTCTCAAGAACTACGGGGACAGAAAAGCTGAAACTTATAAGGAAAGCATCCTGGGGAAGCATAGATTCTAAATTGTTTAAATCCTGGCCCACGGGGGTAGGGTGGGGCCACATGTATGTAGTTACAAAGATGGGTCTGGTGAATTTTTTAAGAAATAGCACGACCAAAGAAACTCAGGTGAGCGCTGTGACCCATGGGCCTCTTGCAATAAATTTTGCAGCACTTTTCTGAATTGTTCTATTCATCCATTGATCTGAATTTATTGATCCCATACCATGTACATACCAATTACATTTTGTTATTTTAAGAATGTTCAAATGCAGGGAACACATCGTAGGCTAGCCGTGACACACGTGTGTTTGATGATTATTACCAAAACACATACATGTTTTGTAAAGACATTTTGATATCCGGGACAATCAACAAATGAACAAACAGTATTAAAATATTACTTTATATGTTGATTCTGCCCGCAGCACCTTTTGGTACTCTATATAGCATGCTGCAACTTTTCTATCTTGACATATGTTTCCGCTAGTCTTTTCAAGCAGTATTCGCCCATTTCCCTTTGAAAAGGTGGTGTTCCCATTATTTATCTAGCCTGTTTTCAAATTGATAGTTTTTTGCTTATACCACACCATCTGGCCAGCTATATTCTACAATTCAACGACCGGTATTTAAAACTGATCCCTGAATAATTTACGGTCTATATTTAGTTCATGCCTGTAAACATCTCTGTGCAATAGAAGCATTTGATAAAATAACTTTTTTGAATAAATGCAGGTAAAAACGGTTTTAGCTCACATCAACTGAAAGCTAGAGTGAGCTTTTCTGATCGTCCTTTGTCTGTCCATCGGTAAACTTTTCACACTCCCTTCTTCTCAAGAACCTAAACCTAATTCTAACCAAACTTGGTACAAAGCATCCTTGGGTGAAAAGTAGTTTGAATTCTTAAAATGAAGGGCCAAGTTTACTTACATGGAGAGATAATCAAGAAAAGACCAAGAAAATCAAGAAAAAATCTTCTCAAAAACCACTGGGCTAGAAAAACTGAAACTTGTGTGGATGCATTCTAGGTACTGTAGATTCTAAATTGTTCAAATTTGATGACCCTCCGGAATAAGGCAGGGACCAGATAGGGAATCCGAGTTTTGCATTGAATTATATAGGAAAAATCTTCTACTCAAGAACCACTGGGCCAGAAAAGCTTTTGTGGAAGTATCTTTGGGAAGTGTAAAATTTTAATTGTTCAAATTATGACACCCATGCAGGGGTAGGGCGGGGCCCCAACAGGGAATCCAAGTCTTACATTGAAATATGTAGGAAGATCTTTAAAAAATCCTCGCAAACAGGGGGCCAGAAAAGAAGAAACATATAAATGTGGAAGCATCATGGGTTGTTTAAATTCTAAATTTTCCATATCATGACCCCTTGGTGGTACATATATGTAGAGTGGTGTCACAAAGGGGGAGGGGTCTGCTCCAGAAGTGACCAAAGTGACTCTGGTAACGATGTGGCCCACGGTCCTCTTGTTGTTATGAATATGTCATGTACAAGTGAAGTTTGAAATTTTAATACTAATTTTATTTTCAGAAAATGGTCCGAATATTCCACTATCGTTGAATAATTTTACAGAATAATCGACTAAGGAAAATAAATAGTTGGACATCCCTGTAGCTGATCCATGTGTGTACAATTATAGTTTTGCATTCAGGCTCGTGCCATGGGAGTGGGGGTCTGAATCTCACACTTTTTTTCAAAAACATAAATTTTACTATATAAATGTTCATTGTTCAAAAGGCTGCTCCACACTTTTTGTTGCAATAAACATGATTATAAGTGAAATTAGGGTAATGTAGTAGTGAATGAATAAAATTAAGGTACTGAAAGAGGTTGGGACCTACCTACAGAACACAGGCACTTGTTTTGGTAATAAATTTTTAACCTATATTATAAAAATAGCAATTTTCCTCCTGTTTCTCTTGCGCCCCCTTCGAAAACGATGGTATGTCCCACAGGGGCCGCTAACAGTAACATACTATATTTGATTTTACGTAATCGCCATATTTCTTATAGTGATTACGTTAAATTTAATGTAGTATGTTACCGACTCCTGTTGCACGTCCCTGGCATGCATTTTATCAATACTTTTTTTTGTGGTGGAAAAATCATGCCATTTTTATGCCTTGTCACGAATATTGGCCGGGGCGTATATCGTTTGTCATATCAGTCTTTCCCCCACACATCGCCTTTTTTAGCAAACTATTCAACATGTATCATTCAACTCCATGTGCTGATACACATTTTTTTCAAATGCATCAACACTTTTTGACCTAGACCTTTCTTTAGACCTTGGCCTCATTAAAAAATGTGTTTTAGCTAAAGTTTCAAAGAAGCTATTCAAGACAAAGTAACTTTTTTTCATATTCTAGATCCAATGCCGAATTTGAAGCACTGTGAGTCAATGACCAGTGAATACAGAACCCTGAAAGTTTAGTCCACACACAGATTTATGTCCCAAACTCTCCATGGCCACTCATCCAATCATTATGATTTAGAAAAAAAGCATGAGGATGCATCTAAATATATATGTATAATCACTGCAAGACTGGTTAAAATAGGGCTTGTACTGTGCATTGTAGTTATGCTAAAATAATGAAAGCTATCATTCAAAGCAATGACATGATATCAGATAAGTTGGTACAGTTTAAGCTTATCTTTGCAGAAACTAACTTTCAAATATCTAACTTCAAAACCATATTCTTTTCAGTAATTTTTATTTAAGCAAACATTGTAAAAGATTTTAGGTAATACATGTATATCATTTTGAGTGTTCATTTTTAAAAGATTGTAAATAGAGATTACAAATACTATAATGTTTTAAATTTAACTACAATTGAGTTTTATAAAATAACTTCTTTGAATAAATAAACATCTCTTTCTTTTGCCTTGTTTAACATTTTTTAAACACAGACTGACTGTTTTAAATGTATATTTATACACAGGATAATAAAAACACACATTTTTGACAATGGAACAGGTACCTATGAACAAAATATGCATGTAAACATGTGAGCATGCCAACAACACACACATTACTATTCAAGATCAGAGATTTCATTTACTTTTTGATACAACTACATATAAACAAATTGTTTCTCAAAAAAAAAAAAAAAAAAAAAACGGAAACACCCACCCCCATACATCTAACAAAATTACTTCTAAATGCAGTATTTTCTTACTCAGTTATTTGCATGTAATACATGTACTCCCACAATATCCATACAAACACAAATCTAAATACCATAACTTTAAGTTAATGTAACTTCACTTGACCTTTTTGCTTGTATGATTTCTTTTGATACAAACTAATGTTCTAACACACTAAAATACAACAGACATAGCACACATTCCATGAAATTTGTGGCTGTGTGGTTCTTAAACTACGATAAAATATTTCAAAACTACAACAGATGTATGACATCTAGTCTAAATAAAGTCATCACAGACACAAAGGACACTCTATACAATAAATGTAACAAGTAAAGCATGGAGCACTAATCCTGACGGAATAGAAACCAAATGCAGGGAAATAATGTGAACTTTAACCATGAAATCTAGCCCAAATGTCCTAGAGGGGATGGAATAAAGATGAACACGACTTTTACATATGGTGTCCTTGAATATTTTGTTTGTTTTCTTCATCATTCATTACAATGGTGACCTTCAGTCATCATCAGACAGGGTTTCATATTGTGATGACAGAAGGAGAGCTGGTTCGTGGTTCCTCTGCTGAAATCCATGTTCCCCATCCCCTGAGGACCCCACCTGCTGACCGCTCGCGGAGTAGGGAGATGGCATTGAAGCAGCAGTAGTACTGGTGGGGATGTTAGATCCAGCTGAGGTTGGCATCTCTGAACTGGAGTGAGGGTGAGTGGTTGTATCAAGAACAGGAAAATGAGAATCCCCTCCCCTTGGTGACCTAGATCTATGTGTGAATGAGCCTACAGCGCTGTCGGGGGTGCGACTTTGGGACAGGCGTTCTCCCCCATCCTGGATGTCGGTACTACTGCGTGGACTGTTCTCACTGTCTTTAGATGACCTTGAGGACTTTGACCTATCTCGCTGAGGTGATGCGGAGGTCACGTCTGCTGCAGAGGAGCTGTCAATGGCACCTACAGATTCATCAATGATCATTCTGTCGGAGTGAGTGCTGTCTATACTGGGATGGGACACATTAGAACTTTCGTCCACCTCTGAGGTATCATGTTTTGAGGACTTCCTTATGAAGCGACTGTCAATATTTTGCTCTGGTCTTATGTATGACTGAGCCTCTGAACTCTGTGCCTCTCCATGGTCCATTCCAAATCTGGAGTCTGAACTTTGAACTTGTGAGTCATTGCCACGGTCTGAAGAACGGTTATCAGAACTATCTACAATTCCTCTACGAGGACTTCTGGTTGTGCTTGACAGAGCCATATAGCTTCCTTTCACCACTGGATCATCATCTGGACTATCTGGGAAGTCGTACTCTGATCTAGGTCCCTTCTTGTCTGTTGTTGTTGATGCTCTCTGAACTTCTGACATAGAAGTTGGGGTCGATTTCTGCTGAGAATATTTGCTCTGTGCATCATCTGCTCCATACTTGACTCTTCCCCGAGCAAACATGCGTTTCTTAGCATGTGCAGCAGACATTTGAGAGACAGGTTGAGAGGATGTGCTGGAGCTATCACTGACTTCATCACTAGAGCTGAGATGTTTGCTGATGGGGTCCTGATACTGATGCTGCTCACTTGAGGAAGAGGTACTTGATGGAAAGATTTCATGCTGATGTTGCTGTGATGTTGCTTGGTTGTCTCCATGTTGCTGAGAGTGCATCTCTCTCTGCTGATTCTCCCAGCCTCTTTGCTGAGTAGACTCCGGCTCAGGTTGCTGTTGGTGGTGACCACCTGCCATGGGAGACATAGAACGATTCATCCCTGTGTTTGTAGAGCTCTGTAGATGACTCATCCCTGGCTGTGCCATTTTCTGCTGGTGGCTCCTCTGATGCATAGAAGATACCCCAGCCTGTGATTTGGTATCATACTCATCCCGTAGAACCTCTGCGATCTTGTTCTTAACATAATCTAGAGGTGACAAGTTTCCTAGCTGGCTGTTGTCAGGCTTAGAGCTAGAGGCCACTTCAGAAACTTGAGGGGAGGACACAGAACATTCAGCTTGATGACCACCTGTAAAATATGAATACAGCATTTCATAAGATTTTTAATGTAGGTGAATATGAAATTACTTGAATATATATCATGCTGGTAAATGCATACAAACTTTTAGAAATAATTCACTTTATGTGTGCTTTTCTGTTATTATTTTAATTCTATATTTATAGATGTGTTTGCAAAACTCTGTGGCTCTGACAGTAGCAATTTGCAATGCTGGCATCTTCTTCAATGTAACACAAACACATACTACAACTATCCACAACTGCTTACATAAGTTACATAAGACTAAAGTTAAATGAACATTTACATGTACATTATAAACGTAAACATGAAAAGTATGCATTTTCACATCCCTCTGAAGGCAATTTATAAAACGTTTTCTATTGCAGTGAACTCTTAGAATTTTTTCTGGATAACGATTCTGACAAAAGTTTAAAATAGGAAAGGATCACTCTGACATAATAAAGAGGAATGGCCAAAAAAAGGACCGCACATCACAAAAGTGATTATTTTATACACATAGGCATATAAGCCTTGGCTAGTTTTCTATTTATGAAGAAATTGAAAATAAATTATTACAGTCAAGAAGATACATGCAAGTAAAGACAAAAATATTATCAAAAGCATTTTTGTCAGAATCAAGAAAACTAGGTACCAAAAAGACTTTATCCATAACAAAACGAATACATGAGAAGCAAAACTAAAATATTGTTAAGACATGTACAGTAAAACTTGCTTATAACGAAGTGCAAGGAACGGACAATTTAACTTCATTATAACTGCAATTCAATATAATCGTAGAGTTAAAAATTTTAAAGTCAAAGAAAAAAAATCTGGTATTTTCTGAAATGATTGCTAGTAGAACTCTTTCTACAACTAATGTTCTTTCATAATGAAGCTAAAAATAGTCTTGATGGTACCTTGTTTTGAGTAATTCTTTAGACATACCAGCAGTGTTTGGTCTAGATAATAGACTGGAGATATGCTGGTGATTGGCGGCTACAGTTGAAGAGATATTCAGTGAACCAGATCGAGAGCGAGGTGAGGGAGGGGGAGAAGTCTTGGCAGGCAGTGCCTCACTACTTTCTGGGGCTCCTAAAGGAGCAAAACGACACAAATACAATAACAAGCATGCAACACAGTCAACAGTGTACTAGTCTGAACATGTATTCACATAACAATTATTAAGCATTTATAAATCTGTTTTTTACTTATTCTTTATAAATTCTAATTTGTTAGAAAAGAAATTTTATAATTTCTTTTAGAAAGAATTTTATTTCATAGGAATGTTCAGTTTGAATTTGCAAGTACCAATTACTGGATACAAAACAACAGAGAGACAGGTTACATCTGAATACTGACAAATAGAAAAAAGTCTTCCTACTTGTTACACATTCTTTTCAGAGAGAAAAGCTGCTGAAACAACATGTACATGCAAGACCTATCTTTTTGCAACATGAATGATTCTCCATCTTACTAAAATTCCAAAACAGCTACATTTTAAATCTAACAGAAGACCCACCGGGCGGGGAGACCGGCTCGGTGCCACTGGTGATATGAGGGGAGCGTGACTGGTCGGGGTGGTGACTACGGTCCCCCTCACCAGGGTGTGGAGTCATACTGTCTGGGTACATCTCTCCAGAACCAGAGGAGGAACTCCGAGATCCTACTGCTTCCTGCTAAAAACAGAATTTGAAAAGTGAAAAATCATGGTCTCATGATTTTGTTTACTTTGTAGTTACTAAATTTCTTCAAAATATGTTACCCCTCTTATTCCAAAATTTTAAATTGCTATCTTTAAAATGAATAAAGGGTATATAATTGTTTAATACTGTGTATATGTCATTTAATTATCTATCAAAAAAAACCAAACTTTGCCAAACATTATTAATTTGCCGTGCAAAAAAGTTAGGGCCTAATTATGAACAGAACTCAGTAAAACTTACATGCATGTGGGCTTTCTTCCACTTGTGTCCGTGAACTGATGGCACAAACCCTGGGTGAGTAGTGGCCCCGGTAGAGAAGCTCCGGGGTCGAGAGTCGGTGGACTGTGACACCCCGTCCGTCTGACCCTGGGAGGTCAGGGGTTTCCCAGGGGACGACTGATCTGGAATAGCACTGACTGGGGTGCCCGATTTACTCACTGGTGCTACAAGATTGTCGAAAATATACTTTTGATAGGCAGTCCTCAAGTTAAAACACTGACATATTAAATTGGTTTTCTGAGTCTGCAGCCATTAAGATAAAGGTTATCTGTCCGAAACTATGGCATAAAATCAAGAATATCTTGTAGTATATTTCATGTAACAGCTTTAGCAGCTTTAACAGCTTTAGCATCTTTTAAAAATAAAATGTTCTCCATAACTTAGATTATTTATGCAGATATGAATCCTGCAAAATAATATGATAATATCACACAGGTACATTGTGGGCCAATTGTGTAATAATAGGTATTTTGTGCTATCAGTAAAATTACAATTACATACGCACAAGACAGGCATTTATCCACTGTTCTTTAACCTATGATAAACTCAACTCTGGGGAATACTTACGAGAATCCTCTGGACTCCCGTTAATCTGACTCAGAACATTGGCTTTGGCAGACGGTTTGGTATTACCGTAATCCATCATTATGATGGAGGTGATGTGTTCCCCTAGGGTCATGCTACTTTTCTGTTCCCCACCAGGGCCCTCAGATTTGGGGGTCCTAGCCTCCATACTGGATGTGGTTGGACTGTTCTCGCTATCAGACACTTGTCCTGATCCACTCTGATGAGAAAACAAGACAAACATATAAAATCTTTTCAATATTCTTTTCTACCAAATACCAGCAGCAAGATTGTTTTGCAATCCTTGCACAACTATTAGCACATTTATTTTTAAAATGCTGCCCACATTTATGTCTATACAATTTTACAGACCATATAACCTAGAAAACTTACTATAGGTTCTATACACTTATATCTCAAAAAAACACATAAAAACACAAGAGCTTGAATTTGGTTTATAATGTATACCTGTGGTGTGCTTGGCATTGGAGAGGACTGTACTGGTCTCTGCTGGGACTCGTGGACCCAGCGTTTCTTGCCATGCATGGCCGGTGGTGACTTCTGGTCTGGAGGAGTGGAGTGTGGTACTGGCTGTGGTGCTGAATCTGGTGGCTCCTGTTTTGGGCGGGGCATAGAGGATACCACAGAGGATGCCTCAGGCTTGGTGGTGGCAGTTTCCTCAGTTGAATTGTTAATCTGGTGGATGATAATAGCATCAATTAAGTTTGCGGCAGTTAAGGAAGCTTGTCTCTCACTTCCAGAGCGATTTGTTCCACTTGGGTCCTGAGCAAACACTTTAAAGAATTCCGCTGGAGTTTGGATGTTACTGGTAGTATTCCTGAATCCTGGAGAGGATCTGTTTGAGGAGCTTTTGTTGGACTCTGTGTCACTTTTAAAACCTCTGTCATCTTGTTTTGGGGACTCCATTATTTCCCGCCTGATCTGCTCCTCCAGATTAAATGCCTTGTTTTTGTTGGCGTTCTCCCTCTCTTGTTGCTCCTGCCTCTCCTGCATTTGTCTTCTGTTGTACTCCTGTTGCTGAGCTGCTAAAGTGGTAGCCGGTATGCTGGACCTTGGTTGTTGCTGCTGCTGACGTAAAAGTGGATCGTATCTTGGTGAATGTGCACCTTGAGTTCCCCGCATACCCTCCCCTGGGTAGTCTGGTCTTTCATTGGCCGTAATCACACTAGGGCGTCCTGTGCCATGGGTTATACTTGGTCGGTCATGTGGAACTTGGCCTGGACCAGGCATTCCTTGTTTGGGCCAACCACTAGGTTTCTCCTCATGTGGTGGTGCATTATGGGATGGATGAGGTGACAACCTCCTATCAGGCTGCATGGGCATCTGTCCAGGTTGAAGATAGATCAGTCCCTGGCTTGTCTGTGTGTATCCCGGCATTAAAGATCCTGGGTATGGGCCTGGCTTTGTCTCTTTGCCTCTCGGTGAGGGCTGACTTTCCTGTTTCCTGTGAGGTCCACCCATCTGCCGAGAAGTTTCAAAATCACATCTTATAGTCTGTCTGGTGCTGTTCTCTGGCTGATAATGAAAAGGCATCCCTGGCTGTGGATACTGCTGTGGAGGCCTTATCATCTGCTGTTCCATCATCATTCTTTGCTGCTGCTCCCACTGCATTTGCATCCTAGGTCCCTCCATGCTTCCAGGGGCACCTCGAATCCCCATCTCTCTATTCACAGGAGTACCACTGGTTATTGATCCACTGGGCATCCTTGGCTGGCCTTGTAAATTCTGCTGCCTGTGGATTGCCTCTTGTCGCTGTGCCATATTGGCCAACTGACTTGGATTAATGCTCTGAGCAACTGTCCTTACAGGTGTACCTTGTGTAATTGATCCAGAGCCTGAATGCATGACAGAACCAGGCACCAACATAGAAGGATGACCTGTTGATGGGGGAGATTTTGTATTCAGCTTTGGAGATGGTCCTTTGCTATTTATCAATGGAGGGGGTGGTGGAATGGCCTGGCGGGGCTGTCCACGAGCATGTGGGTCCATATTGGGGGGCATTCCTGTGAAAGGGGAAGTGCTTGGTGGGATGTGTCGGCTGATAGCTGGAGAAACAGCTTGCCTGTCATGAAGGTACGGCTGAGGAGATTTCTGTTCCACAGATGGAGGTCTATTAGTCAATGGCAGTGCCTCACTATGAAAATATCCAGTGGGTTTCTGAGAGTGGGCAGGTGGTGGTCCTGAAGATCTGGGCAGGGGGTCCTCAGCAGGTCTTCTGTACTCATACTGGGGCTGGCTACCAAAATCACGGGGATTTCCCCTGTAGCCAGAAGGAGCTTTAGAGAGATCTTGGGGGAGATCCCCTCCTCTGTCTCTGCTGTCTGGGGGTTCTCTCTCCATTCTGCCTGGTGGCATGTGATAAGGAGAAGCAGAATGGCGTCCACCATAATCAGGCTTCTCTTTACGGAGATCCTGGACATTGTATTGACCAGCACCTGGAACCATGGGCTGACCTCTGTATATTGGCTCTGAGGAGGCAGGACCTAAAATTATTTGATGCAATAAATAAATGCAAGTCAAACCATTATTCAATAAATGCCATTCACAATTTTTTTGTACAAATATAGTTAAATTTTTCACTAAATTTCACTCTAATTTTTCATTGAGAATAAAATTTTGTATTTACATGGAAAATTTTGTTAAGCACTTCCAAAAAGAATAGGTAGGAAATAATTACGTTTTTCTTGAGGTCTCTCAACAGGGCGATCAGGCTGGACCAAATTTCTCTCAATAGCAGAGTGGATGAGATCCCTCACACAAGACATACGCTTGGCATCATTCTGGCTCAGGTTACTTTTGTTACCGGTTACAACTGGTGACATACTTCTGCTGAGGTGGCCCTGGTTGACAAATCCTGGCTCTGACATGGCACTGGAGGGTCTGTGTTGAGCGTTCTCCCCCTGATACATAATATTATACATGCTGTTTCTTCCCTGCTGACCCTGGGGTGGCTGTCTGCCTGAATAATCTAACACTGCTGGGTTCCCTGCCTGTCCCATGACTGGCTGGACTTCTCTTACATCTCGACTGGACGGGCGAGATGGGTGACCGTGATCGACCTCCAGAGCTGGACTGGAAGCCACTCTACCGGGCACTGGGCTCTGTCGGACAGCTGATGGATGAGGAAGTGGCCCACCTCTCATTGGTAATCCTGGGCTTGTGGAAGGTCTGGGCTGAGTGGGCACCCCTAACTGGGCCCCTTGCATCATCTGCTGTAGGTGAGTCTGGGTTGTTGGAGAAGGCTGCATGTGTGTTGGACCTGTTGGGGAGGGCTGATGAGGGAAGCCCCCAGTGTTCTGCTGCTGGATAGGCAGTTTTGAGGCAGGTATTCCTGAAGTTCTAGGGCTAAATGTGTCTCTTGGCTCATCTAAGGATTAATAATTGTCATATTTACAATATAATCTCAATGTACATATATTATAGAAAATGAGCTTTGATTAGTTTCAACTTTATCTACAATGTTTTTTCTCTTTAATTTCATAACATGCGAAACAGGTTAACTTTGTGTGTTCATGAAGATAAAGTATAAATCAACCATATAAGAAAAGACTGGACATACTCTGTGGTTCCCTGGGGGGCTGACCCCCTGGAGGAGGGGCTTCGTCAGCACTCATGGTAGCACTACTGTCGTTATCCACACTCCTCAGGCTGCCCTGGGAGGCACTCAGGGGCTTGTTAGCGGTCAGATTCTGAGGGAGACCCATTGTGGTGGGACCCTGGAAGTTAGAAGATAATTCGGTCCCTGTGTTCCCCTCCTGCTTGTCCTCTTTCATGGTAACTATGAAAAATAATGTGTTTTTTAAATATCCTTAAAATATATCAGTTTTTCTCAGTAATAATAGAAAATTCAAATTTACTTTGCAGTTAGTATTCAACTGAAGAAATTTTCAAATGAAATATAAAACATTTAAACAGATTTACAGTGTACATGCAAAATTTTGAAGAACATAAATCTTATGTGTTTGTTTCAAGGATTCTTTATAGAATCATACCTTATTATCTCAAACTGGATAAGACCAAGAAAAATACTTCCAAACTTTTTGATTTGACATATCAGTTTTCAAAGTTTCCACTGTATTTTTAAAATCCTAGCTTTATCCTTACCTTCCTCTATCCTCTGTGCCGAGGGGCTAGGAGCACTATCTATTTCCCTACCTTCCTCTATCCTCTGTACTGAGGGGCTAGGAGCACTATCTATTTCCTTACCTTCCTCTATCCTCTATCCTCTGTGATGAAGGGCTAGGAGCACTGGTGGTGTCTGAGTCATTGCTATTTCCCTACCTTCCTCTATCCTCTGTGTCGAGGGGCTAGGAGCACTATCTATTTCCTTACCTTCCCCTATCCTCTGTGCCAAGGGGCTAGGAGCACTGGTGGTGTCTGAGTCATTGCTATTTCCTTACCTTCCTCAATCCTCTGTGCCGAGGGGCTAGGAGCACTGGTGGTGTCTGAGTCATTGTCCTCATCATTGTCCTCCATCCCTGAGGACATGTCCTCCACATCAGAGGGGGCAGTCACCGTGGACGCAATGCTCTCACAAATAGAAGTGGTCCTCTTGTCTACCTCCTGAGAGTTGAGAACCTGTTGGATATGATAATAAAAGTTCAACAAAGGTCACAAGTTAAGTAACAGCTCATGTAAAATATAACAAAAATATGTCAACAAGTCATCGATTCTTTAAATACTGTACAAGTTATTTTTTCCGTGTGGTATTAATTTATGCTATGTACGCGGTCACAAATAATCCGCGGAAATTTGTTCATGCATACTTAATATAAATGTAAGGCATATAATGACAGCTCTAGAAAATCCGCATAATTTTCTACCCGCGGATTAAACAGAAATTAAGATTCCGCAGAATTATGACCCCGTGGAAAAAAAGTACGTCTACAGTATAATGAACACAAAGGTTTAGGGTTTTATAGAAATGAAACCCATGTTGTTATCTTTCTGCCAATATTTGAAAAACTTTTTCATAATTTTTGTACCCCTTGGTACTTATAAATTTTGAAAGTTAAAATATATTGAAAAAGCCAGTTAAATTAATTTGATCTGTTCATTCATCATCTTCAAATGTGAATTATATTCGGTAAAATACAAATAATTCTGTAAAATACTTTTTTTTATACATGTATAGAAAACAACAATCCAATGATCTAAATTATTTTACCTTTTCTTTGGCATGTTCCTGTACAATTTGTTCTAGATTAAGCTTTTTCTTGTAGTTGAAGTAGAAGTTTTTACACTGAGCTTCCGTCTTTGTTGGCACCATACTGGCAATGGCTACCCAATCTCTGCCATGATTTCTCAGACCTTAAGGAGGAAATAACACCATTAATGACTCAATACGTGAGAATATTACATTTATACATACACTGTATATGTAACACAAAATATGTAACACAAGATCTTTTGTAACAGAAATAAGGTACTTGTGTACTTTAGTCATTACATGAGAATAGTTATTGCCTCCAGTACATTTGATCTTTCCTACATAATATTTTCTGTATAAACTTGCCTATGCCGGTAAGTCAGATTTTTGGGAGTTTAACCTTGGTCCAAAACTCTATGTCTGACTTATAGGCGAGTTATAAAAAAGACTGGTATTTTAGGAGGTAAATCCCTTAAATATAAGCTGCAAAAATACAACCGACTTACAGGCGGAACGAGTTACATGTATAGGCGAGTATATACGGTACACATAATTATAATTTTGGTACAGACTGACCTTGCTTAGCTATTTCCATCTCCTCTTCTGTCCAACGTGATGTTTCTACACTCTCTGTTATTAAGATCAATTCATTGCATGATTTTTTTTAATAAATATCTAATGTGATATTTCATAGATTATTAATGTTTCTACATGGCAGACATAAATACCTGTGGCTTCTGTTGTTTCAGGGGCCATTTGTGAATTCTGGTCCCCAGGCACTGTGCTGGTTCCCAGTTTCCTTGCTATCCGATTAAAGCAAGCTGAGCAGCACTTTGTGATATCATCAGTAAGTTCTAGAGATAGAATGAACAGTTAAAATGATTATTCTGCACATATAAATGAAACATAAATTCTGGACTGGTAATACACTTACGTAGTTCTTTTATGACTGGTTCCTTGGCCTCTGCCGTCATCTCAGACCATTTAGGGGGCAGGGGTCTTAGACGCTTGACTTTTCTCTTTGGTGTTTTACATGAAGGAACAGGGCATCTACAATCCAGTCCAACTTATACTTACAATTACAGAAAAGGTAAAATAACATGCAGTAAAATTTTCAGCAAAAAATAACTATTAAGGTCAAGATCTAGTAAATGAAAGATGTCTACAGATTTATCAAACTTGAGAAATAAATTCCTTCACTGATGCTTTACAACTTTAGCTTAGTCAAATAAGGTGTTTCGGGGCATAATTTGAAGATAAACAAGATGAAAAACTGTATTTTAAAATGTCATTTTTAATGAAAAATTAAGAAAACCAGTCATGAAAATGGGAGTTTTTTTCGTATTCGGCAAAAGAGATGTATCCAGATTGCCTACAGTCTTTCAGAAAACAGCAATTAGTATGTTCATGGCCTCTTCTTTAAATCAATATCAAATTTAATATAGGTATCCGGTTTACTTTTCATATGATTTCAAATTGAATGACATGAAAATACCCTATTTTCTACATAATTCTGCTAAAGCCGTAAAATACGGGAAAAAGAAAGTTGAAATTGATTATGACGTCATAATGGATCTAGCACCAAAAAATTAGTCTCAAGTTATTTACTAGATCTTGACCTTAAGTTTTCAACAGTTGCTGTATGGATCAAACGTCACTATTTTTATCTTACTGTGTGTATCTGCGGCGCACTGATTTACAGCGACAACTGCTGCAGACTCTCATTTCAGGTTTGAGATTCTCTTCCTTCATACCATAAAGGTCACAGTTACTCTGGGTCAAAGGTCGACTCAGACCATAGTGCTCCAATAGCATATCACAAATGGCACAATTATGGGCACCACCTACAATGTAAAAATTCAAAAGATTCTATTATACAAAAAATGTATTTTTCTAACAAAAGTTCTTGAAATGTTAAATCTGATGATACATGTATGTAATACGGACAGATTACATAGCAAATGCAGTAGCTGACAGCAAGTTTGCAACAAGATGAATCTTATGAAGATGCACGTTACTTGAATTGGACAATCATTCTAATTTATACTATACACTGACCATCCCCTTCTCCCCCTGCAGTGACCGCTGGCATTGCCTCATTGTCATCTGAGGAGAACTCCTCCTCTTTGATCTTGATATCTGCCTCACTTGAGGAGGAGGCTGGAGCACAGCTGTCTGAGGGCTCCACCTGCTGCTCTGAGGTGGCGGACGAAACCACCTCATCCTCCCCCTCCCCGGGCCGATCCTTGTTCCCGTCTTCCTGGGGGCGGGTGGCTGTTTGCTAAGGAAAAAATTAATAAGCATGGTAAATGTACCTGTAGTGTATTTATTCACACCATCTCAGATAGTTACATGTACATTGAAACTTTCGAGAACCTTTGAAAATCTTTTATTTATTATAATTTCTGTATAATGTACATGGTAACTATATGCTTTTAGACTTAAAACAGTAATTTTATTTTTTTTTAACATTTACATGTAATTTTTAAAATCAATTTTCTTCAAAGGCATTTGATGATGTGGTAAAGGAACAAGAATACATTTGATCTGGTTCTTGTTCTTACCTGAGGTTTCTTCCACTTTTGTTTCCTAACAGTCTGTTTACGCAGGAGACTTTTGTAGTTTTCAGTTTTCTTGGTCTGGTAGTAATACTGCACACAGTCCGCAACACTCTACGAATATATCACAATTAATTAAGAAACTAGATCTTCAAAGATATCCAAATACAATTCAGATGTCCAAACAAAAAATTATACTGAGATGTTTACATGTCTAAACTGATTCTGTGATGATTACCAGTAAAGAACATTTTCTGCTTACCTTTCTCTCTAGGAACTGGGATATGTAGGAGAAATTCTTGGGATGCTGTAGATACTTTTCCTTGAAGATGTTCTTCTCCTGCGCTGTCCAGACATTGATAAACTTCCCTTCTTCGTACTCTGCCATTGGGTCATCTACTCGGCCATTGTTGTTTATGTACCGCAGTTTACGTTGTCGAGCATCCAACATCATAGGGGGCACAACAGCATAACTCCTCATCTTCTTATCCTCTTCCTAGAAAAATATCATGAATATACATGTAGCTGTATGAAATTTATATTTAGTGTTATCGCTTAACAGACTAAATTCATTTTTTTTTTATTTTAGAAACATTTCAGTTTCTCAAATGCATTTCATTTTTATACATGTGGATGTACCTCCTATCATAAGCAATCACCAGTTACAAAAACACCTGTAATAATTTTCCTCACATCATAAAACAAGTTAGTATTGTATATTTGTAATATCTGACCTCCTGTTCATGTAGCCCGTCCATAATCTGCTCCAGCTCTGCCTCACTTCTAGCATACACACCATTATTACCTCCACGAGTCCCTGCCCTGTAAATAGCAAAATGTTCTCTTTTTATATAATTTCCCTTCCCTACAGCACCTAATCAAAATTTTCATTGAATTAAAATGAGTTTATCATTTTCATGAAAAAGACTTATCATTTTTTAATGCAAAAAATACTTTTAAAATGTATGGTTTTAAACTCTATCGAGGAACAATGTGTTTCTATCAAAGAACAATGAAACACATTGTACAATAAAATCTCCACCGGGTATTTTGCATACAGTGTCAATTTTCAACTAGAACTGTCCAAACGGGACAAAATACCCCCGCTGGGTTTTTCAGAAGTGCTAAATCATGAATATTTTATGGATCTAAGAGAAGAGAGAAATGCTAAAACATTTTTAGTGCAAATGTAATTGCTTATTATATTTTTTATAAATGAAACGAAGGCGCAGCCCAATAAAAACAAGAGGCCCAGGGGCCACAGCGCTCACCTGAGCACATCAGGCTTGACTTTACTTTGATAACCCCAGGCCCCCCCGGACCCTCCAGGCGTTCATCACGAATTTGAACAAACTAGAATGTTTACACTACCTGAGGATGATTCCATATAAACATCACTAATCATAGCTTTGAAGTACTTGTAAAGAAGATTTTAAAAGGTTTCCCTATATATCCCTATGTAAAACTTGGGATCGGCCATTTTGGCCCCACCCTAGCCCCGGGGGTCATGATTTGTAAAAACTTAAATCTGCTCTACCTGAGGATGATTTCACATGAGTTTTATCTTTCCTGGCCCAGTGGTTGTGGAGAAGAAGATTTTTAAAGATTTTTCCTATATATTCCTATGTAAAACTAGGGTCGGCCATTTTGGCCCCACCCTTGCCCCGGGGGTCAAAATATGAACAAACTTGAATCTTCACTACCTGAAGTTGCTTCCACATGAGTTTCATCTTTCCTGGCCCAGTGGTTCTGGAGAAGAAGATTTTCAAAGATTTTTCCTATATATTCCTATGTAAAACTAGGGTCGGCCATTTTGGCCTCACCCTTGCCCCGGGGGTCAAAATATGAACAAACTTGAATCTTCACTACCTGAGGATGATTCCACCTGAGTTTCATTTTTCCTGGCCCAGTGGTTCTTGAGAAGAAGACTTTTAAAGATTTTTCCTATATATTCCTATGTAAAATTTTCATTTTGGCCCCAATTTGCCCCAGGGGTCATGATTTGAACAAACTTAAATCATTTTTTACCTGAAAATGATTCCACATGAGTTTCATCTTTCCTGGCCCATGTGTTTCTGGAGAAGAAGATATTTAAAGATTTATCCTATATATTCCTATGTAAAACTTGGGTCGGCCATTTTGGCCCCAACCTAGCCCCGGGGGTCATGATTTGAACAAACTTAAATCTCCTCTACTTGAGGATGATTCCACATGAGTTTCATCTTTCCTGGCCCAGTGGTTGTGGAGAAGAATTTTTTAAAGATTTTTCCTATATATTCCTATGTAAAACTTGGGTCAGGCCATTTTGGCCCCACCCTTGCCCCGGGGGTCATGATTTGAACAAAGTCTTGAATCTACACTACCTGAGGTTGCTTCCACATAAGTTTCATCTTTCCTTAAAAGCAATTCTGGAGAAGAAGATTTTTTAAAAATGCCATTAATTTTTAAAAAATTTAAACTATCTCCCCTTGGAAAATGGCGTGGCCCAGCATTTGAAGCAAACTTGAGAGTCCCCTTCATCCTTGAAGCATATTTGTGCCAAGTTTGGTTGAAATTACAGTGGTTATATAAGAAGATGATAATGTGAAAAGTTGGTAATAGACCAACAACGACAACAACGACAACGACGACAAAATGGACAAATTTTGATCAGAAAAGCTCACTTGAGCCTTTGCATCTTAGGTGAGCATCCATGCAAGAGGCCCATGGGCCTTATAGGTCACCTGAGAATCATGCAACAACTTTCAAATGATTGAATTTGGTTCATGTTTTAAGCTAGATGCTATGGCATTCAAAATTCTGAAAGAGGCACCATTGCTTATCATAATTATACACTTAGCAATTGTTTAGTTTGTTTACTTAATATGGATAAGCAGCGTAGGGGAACAAAAAAGTATGTCAACTAATCAGTAATATTCAGCAATAATCAGGAGTGCTCCCACCACATATGAACCCATGCAAGTTAGGTCTATACATTGCACAATTTTTGAAAAGGCACACTTGCTTATCAAAAATGTTTGATTAATAAAAGGAGCAGATTTCAAACAATTCTTTTTCAGAATATAAGTATCCCCCCTCCCCATTTTGGTATCTCAACCCAGGGGCCTTGAAATTCACAATTCTGGAAATAAACCGATCACCAATAACTATGTTAATAGTTCATTCTGCTTATTACCCAGGAAAATGTAGGAAAAAGATTTTCATAGATGTAATGTATTTTCATCATATAATCATTATAGAGCCACATCCTAACACCAGTTTGGTCACCCTGGGGCCATAAAATTCACAATTTAAGGTAGAAGCATTCTTGCTCATCATAACTATGTCCTTAATTAGATTATTCAATAATCAGAAGCAGAGAAGAAGATTTTCAAAGATTTAATGCATTTTCACTATGTAATCAATTGAGCCCCGCCCTAACACCAGAACTGCTGACCCTAGGGCCATGAATTTCACAATTTTGGTAGAGGCACTCTTGCTCATCATAATTATGTATTTAGTAAGTTTATCAAATACTCAGGAACAGAGAAGAAGATTTTCAAAGATTTAATTCATTTTCTCTTTATAATCAATAGAGCCCCGCCCTAACACCATACATGTAACCCCTGACCCTGGGGCCATAAAATTTACAATTTTGGTAGAGGCACTCTTGCTCATCATAACTATGAACTTACTTAGTTTATTTAATACCCAGGAGCAGAGAAGAAGATTTTCAAAGAATTAATGCATTTTCACTATATAATCAATAGAGCCCCGCCCTAACACCAGAACCCCTGACCCTGGGGCCATGAATTTCACAATTTTGCAAGTTTGGTCAACATAGGGCTTATAGTAGAGGCACTCTTGCTCATCATAACTATGAACTTAATTAGTTTATTTAATACTCAAGAACAGAGAAGAAGATTTTCAAAGAAATAATGCATTTTCACTATATAATGGAAATAGAGCCCCGCACCAAACACCATAACCCCTGACCCTGGGGCCATAAAATTCACAATTTTGGTAGAGGCACTCGTGCTCATCATAACTATGAACTTAATTAGTTTATTTAATACCCAGGAGCAGAGAAGAAGATTTTTAAAGAATTAATGCATTTTCACTATATAATCAAAAGAGCCCGCCCTAACACCAGAACCCCTGACCCTGGGGCCATGAATTTCACAATTTTGGTAGAACTCAATGCTGATTACAATAAAACATACCAACAGTTTGACTGCTTGATGTCTGGGAGTAAAGAAGAAGATTTTTAAAGATTGCACTAATTTTACTGGTTTTTGCCCCACCCCCCAGGCCCCAGGGGGGCAGGGACCAGACGACACAAATTATAATTTTTGTGTCCCTTCACCCATAGATGCTATATGCCAAAATTGGTTGTAATTGGTTCAGTGGTTTCAGAGAAGAAGCTGAAAATGTTTAAATGTTAACGCACGACGCACGACGGACGACGACGGACAAAAACAGATAGCAATAGGTCACCTGAGTTTACTCAGGTGACCTAAAAATAGACTAAACATACAGATCAGACACGAATTATGAACTTTTTCTGTCAGTGACCTTGAACTTGCATAAATGGTTCAAAGTCATGACACAACCTCAGGTCATAAGCAATGTTTGTGTGAAGTAGTAGATTCAAGTTTTTCCATTAATAAGATATGGACCGACACAAAATATGAAATTTTTCTTTCAGTGACCTTGAACTTGCACAGATGACCTTGGGTCAACATCATGACACACCTTTAGGTCATGAGGAATCTTTGTGTGAAAAAGAAACTTACCAAGTTTATCCATAAGAAAGATATGGACCGGACACGAATTATGAAATTTTTCTTCCAGTGACCTTGAACTTCCCCAAATGACCTTGACCCAAGGTCATGACATAACCTTAGGTCATGAGCAATCTTTGTGTTAAATGAGAACTTACCAAGTTTATCCATAAGAAAGATATGGACCAGACATGAATCTATGTTTTGAAAGATCTACTTTGCTACTGCTTTATTTTCACCTAATATGCAATTGGGATAGACGAAAACTAATTTAAAGGGAGGTAAGCTTGGAAGATTACTGCGTGTGACATGTGCTCACAAAATATAAGGGCTACACTTACTTTCAAACTGTTAGGAAAATGAGAGAATTCAGGATCATCTTGTACTGGGAAGTTTCATCAAATTTATTTAATATGCCCTTGAAGCTCCCAATGATTACAAATTATTCCCCTTATATTTTCATTAGTGACATGTTTACCTAGAAAACCTCTCTTTATCCTCTCTGTTTTTCTTGATTTCTGGGAATACTTTTTCAAAATACTCCCTCATTTTGGCATCTTTAGCTCTGAAAAACAAAGCAATGCATCATGATACAAAAAAATCCTAATAAAATGAAAATCTGGCATTTTGATCAACAAATAACCTGAAATCAAATAAATCCAATCCATTGATTCACTATCTAGTACAGTGATATGTAAATTCTGCCCCAAAAATTGACAATGGGTAAAAATGTACATTTAAATTCGTATCAAATGCCTTACATGTAACTTACTTTCTCTTAGCACTACTTTCAATTCTTTCAATTTTCTTCAGCCAAACTTGCATCAACTGATCATATCTTTCTGTGAGATACCTCTCCTGAAAGTAAATGGAATCATTTTCCTCAGTCTTTAACATTAATAAATCACACCTTTTCCTTCAAAGTTCTCTCTCTCTCTTTTCTCTATCTCTCTCTCATTTATTTGATCCTTTACACAAAAGAAATTGAAGTTTTCAAGAGGTAAAAATTTCCAGGATATCAAAGTTGAAAATTCTATAGGCTTATACAGTGAAGAAATTGATGAAAGGGTCATTAATATTCATTAAATTCACATGCTACTAATACATAAATTAGCATCCAAATCAATCTTTATTCCACTGAAATGAAAGCTTTTTCATTACCCGTATTCTTTTTTCCTGCTGCCTCTTTTTAAAATGCAAAAGAAGCCTTGGCTTAAATTCAGCATACCTTTAAAAAAGAAAAGAACTTCTTAGAATACAAACTAATTTGATTTTAACATATCCAAAAAAAATTATTAAGCAAATTTTTTTCCCTTGGCTTCTTTTCAGAGTTTCTTAAAAAGAAAAGAATAATTCTCAATCGCAGCTGTATGTTTCTTGAAACAGAAAACCCAGAAGGGAAGTCTATTCATTATATCTCTGATTACATGGCCTGTAAGATCTTACTTTCTCTTGTTCTCATGGTACACTGTCGTATCAGATGGCTGGTTGTACAGAGGCTACAAAAATCAATATTGCACTCATTAGAACAGCGAATCAACAACAAAAAAAATCGTGTCGGAAATAGCGTCACTGTTACAGGGCTGATGCACATAGGAGCCAGTGCTGTCTTACCAATTTAAAACATACCAGATCTATCTTCGGCCCTAATTTGGCAAACATGTTATGGGCTTCCTCTGCTTTTTTCTGCAATAAAAAGAGGTTATACACTGTATTAATCTGAAAGTTTCTCGATAACGATGCTAAACGTCAATTAAAAATAATGAGCAACAGTCTCCCCTAGTTTGTGTCTTGAATTACATAAAAACGATTCTTCTTGTTATTACAAGTACATGTATACCAGACATGGAGAAGATAAATATCTTCAACAGAGTGATTAAACTTGTCTATCATCTCGGGATGTTTATGACAACAATAAAACCCAAGTTTCTTAAGACTAAGAATACAAAAAATATATACATGTACATGTACTAAAAGAATTAACCTTAAACCCCAAATCAAAACATACCCCCTTCCTTAATTATATATACTGTATACTGTAAAATCACATATTTCCGTGGGGTCCATTTATCAAGGTTTGAGGAAAAAATATTGGTTTGTTGTGGTTTAATTTCGCGGTTGGAAAATGTTTAGTAGTAATGCAAATGAAATTTTACATTTCGTGGTGAGAATAAATTCAAGGGTCTCTCCACATCTCCAAATCCAGGAAATTTAGTATTTCACAGTATGCCTTTTAATATATTCAATCTACAAGTCAACTCTTAATTTCAAAGTTCACCGAAACCAATAACGAGTTTAAAATTGGAGTCTTTTCCCTCAATAAAAAACCAGTGTAATTTTTTAAGTTCCTGATTACTTCAATTAATTGGATTGTGGTGACAGGGAGTGGGTGGCTATGACCCCAAAGAGTGAAGAAAAAGTATTCCTTTGTCTTCCTAAGATCAATAATAGGGAACTTGAGATTTTTCAATTTTGAAATCTAACTAAAGACATGACAAATTAATGACTCTGTGCAAGTGATAAATGCATCATTTCTTTGTTCACTTCAATTTCTTTGATTTCAGGACATGTTTCCATTTTTTTTTTTTCGTTCTCATTCCTAAGACCTTGCTCTAAAATGGATTAATTTTCCATGTACAAACAGCTCTAAATAGCAAAATGTCACTTCAGAAAACTAGAATGTGTTACACTTTTCTGACACATTTAATAAAAATATTGCCTCATAGTAAGCAGTGATTTTTCATTTCATCCTTGGTACAGGTGACTACCGGTATATTTAAAGCATATTATAGCTCTGAGTAAAACATACCTGACTTGAATTTTGTTTGAAATGATTAGTACTGTCATGCTCACCCTGTTTTCAGCATAGATGATTTGAGCTATGCTCTGGTGTTTGGTCTCTGGCACGACAATGTCCTTGACCTTCTGTTTTTCCTCTGGAGGCTTACATTTCTCCAATTCCAGCTGTTCCTGCAATATACAAAGTACTTAAGGTTCCCTCTTATAGCAAATAAAGACACAGTTTTAGTGAACTGTAGATCAAGCTATAAAACAAATTTTGTTTTACAAAATATCAAGAATTCTCCACAAATTCTGCAGGCCTTTCATTTCATGTGACTTTTTTTATGTTTAAACTCAATAATGAGAGAGAGAGAAAAAGGGAGAGAGAGAGTTAGGTACTTGTTTTTTCTTGAGTTTATGGATGTCTCGGTCCACTTTGCTGATCTCCCTGTCGACTTTACTGATGGCCTGTAGGAGCTGATCCTTGGAGGACTGGCTCGTCTCATCAGGGGGCAGGGTTGGGGAGATGGCCTCCACTTGGGGGTTGTAGGTCGGTTCCTAGGAGATAGACAAACCTTACATTTACTGAAAACCTCCAAATTCATCATCTGATGGGGGTTACAGTGAATAAATGCATGGACAGTTAATATATCTGATTCGCTTCCACCAAATACCTCAACAGAAATTTATGAATATAAAATTTTGTGACTACTTTGTAATAAACCAATGCACAGAGAGCATGGTGTCATTGAAATAAGAAAACGTCCACTCCACCTTTTTAATGTCTATTTGTAGGGGCTGTAACTCTGGTCTTTCCATGACAAGTCGGGGTCGTTTGGGGGTCTGAGGGCCGCCAGATGAGGGGTTGACTTGGCTTGTACTGGGGCCTGGGTCCCCTCCCCCTTGTGATACCTGAATGTTCCCCATTGTATCCTGATTGTAGCCACTATAAGCCTCTCTAGTTCTACAACAAAATTAAAACTTGTATGTTATTGTACAATCAGACTTTTCAATATACAGCTATATTATAAGTTTACATGGACCATTGTTCAGAGTCAATGTTTGTAGATATCTTACAGACTTGAATTAGTATGTTACAGCTTAAAGTTTTCAGCATTTATTCACTTGGTTATTACACAAAAAATTTATAATTTTTTTTTTCCACATTTAATTCATCAACATAATAAACAGACAGACTAACCAACTAATCCTCATTCTATCTCTTTTTTGAGAAAACTTTTTTTTCTGAAAGTTTTATTTCCATTTACATATTTATTTTCAACTGATGTAATTGATTTTGTTTGAAGGAACGTGTAAATATCCCAAATTGTAAGAACTTTTTTTTCATATTTTATCTTTTATTCTAAATTTATAAAACTTTTTTTCTTTAAATTAAACAAAATTCAGCAATCATTTTTAAACAAGTCTGTCTTCTTCTCAACAACTACATTGTACTTTCATAAAACATGTACCTTCATATGTTTCAGTACTGTCTATATGTACATGTAGTCTTAGCCCATAACATACCATTTTATCAGGATACCTCATTCATGCCCTTAACTGACCTACTTTTAAATGTAAGCTATGAACCTGCTCATGTGAACTTTCAATCATGATAGTGTCATGTTTACAGAAGTCAAGAGTCTACGATACATATCAGTTTCCTATTCTACATAAGCTGATTGTATTAAGGGTACGCAACAAGAAAAAAAACTCCACAGGTATCAAGTTCATAGAGAGTTCACCATCAGATTTATATTTGTTTTCTATTACAGAAATTGGATCCTTTAATGGTTATATAATAAATCATGGCTTCATTTACAAGTTAGAAAAATTGCAAAAAAAATGTGTCTTTAACCTAACACTTAATTAACACTGGTGTTAAGTTTACTAATAGGGGATATCAAAAATATCTTTTACATATCAATGAAATTAACGAATTTTTTCCTTGCCTTTAATCTATTTCAAGTTTCAGGGTAGATTTTTTGGTGAGGGGGAGGGGGTGAAGAGATCTGAAACATTTACCTGTATCTGTCTAGGTTGGCGGCTCTGTGGGCCTGGAAGTCATGAAGCAGGGTGGGGCGGCGGGGGATCTGAAGGTATTCCTCCCTGTAACGGTCCCTCCCGGCCTGGTCAGCTCCCTAGTAAAAAATCAAAACGACAATGTCGTATATATACAAGTGTAAAATAATGAGCTTATATTGGCTAGGGTGTTCCAGGTTTTGTAGCGAGCAGTGATAAAGTTTATGCAACTAAATACAGGTACAATCTACTGATAGTTATGGCATAAAAACTGTGACATCAATACATTTATGGGGCTTAAATTTATTTCTTTGTTCTAAAGTATTCAAGTTTTTCCTATTTACACCATGAACAAGTATTTCATATACATGTACTATGTTATATGAAAATCTTGATTTGTTTGAATACATTATTGTGGATTTCATTGCGTATATATCAAACAAAAGGATGAGGCAGCATCCACATTGCTTAAGTCTTTTAGTTACATGTATCAATTGATTCAATACCTTAAACTGCTCTTTCCTGATACATGTAGACTATTTATCCACAAAATTGAACCTTTCATAATATGATATCTTGAAGGTTACACTGAGAAAATACATAAATGATTAGGGATCTTTTTTGTTTTAGCTTTAATTTATTTAATTTATTTGTTAGATGTCTCCATGCAATGTTACTTTTGAATTTCGACATAACGTGTCAAAATAGATTTCTCCTATTTCTTGGATTCCAACCGAAAACTTCATGTACAGTAGTAATCATGAAAATCTTGACAAAATCAAAATTTACCTTTTTTGAAATAATTCCTGCAGAATACTTAATAATGTGTTTATTAAGGATTGCATGGGTGCATATCATAAAAGGTCCTTGATTGACAAGTCTTTAGGAATGTGACTTTTAAGGAGTTGCACAATTTAGCTAGTACATCTTTAAAACCTTAGCTCTTTTGATTTATTCTAGAAGTATATTTTCCCTGAATTCAATCTTTTTTTAAGTCTTTCACATAATAGCAAGGCCTTTATAGGTCAATGTTAATGCAATCATTTCCTGATGAACACTACTAAAGTTGGTTGATGGTTGAAATGACCTTCAGTGCAATTCATAGAGCAATTTTGACATTTAATTGTACAGTGTGATTAGTCTTCCTCAATCTATTCTAAAATTCTTTATATTGATGGGTTTTTACATAATTTTATTGTCCGCCCATATTCCAATCATGCCAATTTTAACTCCCCCACCCCTGTATTTCATTATGAGGTACTTTTGTGGTCATGTAGTACTCTTTACTGAGTTCTCTGATTTGACCTTTATATTTTCACCAGGAGGGCACTTCTGTGGTCCTCCTTATTGAATATACTATAATTTGACCTCAATATTGACCACAGTTGAGATTAGTTCAAACATTAAATACCCTAAGGTTACAAGCTTACATTATTAAAGTACATTTATATTGGTCAATGAGTAGATCTCATCTAATTTACCTTTATTCTTTATATCATTTTTCTGTTTACAGAAATTGAAAATTTCTTATTTATACATTTTGCTTGCATTCAACATAATTTTGCATTGAATCAGAAATTAAAGTTTCAGTTGTAGCAACACAACTGAAATTTACGTTCATGTCACTATAAATGTTATGAAGTTAAAACATAAGGTCAGCTGCAGTTTATCGCAATATCAGTGTTTGTGGAATTTTAGTTTGTGATGTTAAACAACCTAGTAAATATACAAACTACAAAGTAGATCTTTTACCTATGAAAGAAAGGAGGAAAAGACAGGACCCCTGGGTGACAAACAGAATTGCAAATACTCTAACAGTTAAGTGACTGCCCCTAAAATGATTATGTATTAGCCTACACACAAGAATTACACATACAAGTAAAACACAACCTGAAATGCATGTAAACACAGTACAAATAGGTCAGAGAGTGAAATCCTCTCAGGTGACCCACATATTTTTACAATATTTACATTACGTAATATACATCCAAAAGTGAATGAGACAGCATGCTCAGTAGAATGGAACAGTATAAACTCACTGACCTGTCAGCTAAATGTCTGCATAGTCAACAGAGTGACTTGTGTAGGATCAGAAAGTGTGTGTTGTTTCACTATACCTAGCGACCTTCACCTTGTCTTTATTTAGAATTTTTTGATTAGGGGCATGAGGCAGTGGAGCAATCTTTTACTACACAGAACAGCCACTGACCTAGATGGGCGAGAGCTGACCTAGATGGTCAATATGCCCGCAGTGGTCTTGCAAGCTTTTGGCTTGTTGGCCGTCAATCACTTCAGCCATACATCACAGGCCAGATCTAAGACTGGACATTTGACATATCTGGCACATGTTTGACCTATATTTAATGATGTGATTTACTTAAAAACATTTCCTGTATTGAATGACTTTTCTACAGATAATGTCTTGTAATTGCACAGGGTTAATTAACTGAATGAAAATCATTACATACCGGTATATTTCACACATGTTTTTCTTTACCGGTAATACAATTTAGACAAATAATAATTAGTAATCATGACTTTGCATGTGCTTCAACTAACCCCACCCCGACCCCAAATAAATGCAATGACTGACAGCAAACTGGTTTTTTTGTGATAAGAGTACCAGCAAGTATTTCTCACATGAATTTAAAAACATTCTCCGTAGCAGGTGAGATATTCCAACAGTATTGATGTATATCTAGCATAAAAAATAGTAACGTCATCAAGTGGTATTATAATAATTATAATCAAATAATATGAAGATCGCAAAACCATGCACTTCCAATCTTGAAAACTGTAATTAGTTAATATGTGAAAAAATAATGCCCTCATGCAGTTTTGTAGCCCCCTTTTGTCCCTCATTTTCAACAATTCAAAAACAAACCTGATTTCAGACTTACTTTTGTGAAAAGCTAATGTCAACAGCGAACATGTAATTACAATAAAAAGAAGATCAGAATTGAATGGGAAAAGACATATACTGGTAATTACATATAGTCTTAATAGATGTACAAGCATGTATCTATATCTGCAGAGTTTTAGAGACATTAATAAAACAAGGAGACTAAGAAATTCTCCAGATAAAAAGACAAAAGATATTTTTTTTTACATATATATTATTATTATAAATACTACAATTTACAGAGGACATTAAAATCTATAGTTAGCACTGATTGGCATAGCTAACAATGGAAATCAATCCAATTCTAACTACAGTCAATGGACATTAATTTTTTTCTTTCCAGACTTGTGTTGAATTGTTTACATGGAACCTTAATAGCAGTTTTAGATTGATTTTGCAGTTGTCCATCATATCAGTTCGTTCTTTTTACTTTGAGTGACTTATGATTTCAAAAAAAAAAAAAAAAATGAACAAATTGGTGATAGTAATTTATGGCATGATTTCTGCAATACTGTATCTTTCAGCAGATAATTGTGCTACTGAAAACCCATAGGCCTCATTGTAGACATTTTTTTTTTTCTAATCTTGACTTCTTTTATTTCTTTTGGCTAAAGCATAAGATTTGCAGTTGCATATTCACCATTTGGGGAACTAATAAATATTACAAATGAGAGGCCCATGGGCCTTGATAGTAACATGAATTTCATGAGTTTCTCACAAGAGATTTATATCTTTCATTCCTACGAAAATGTTTCCTTTGAGAGTTCAAGTATTGCAAAAGAGGCTTTGTTAAATTAAAATGTTCTTGACTCTCTGGAAAAAACGAAATTTAAACATCTTTCAGCAGGCACTGCCTATACAAGTCCTCTCCATGTTTTCATTTAACAGGTCAGAGAGAATACTCGAAATCGGGTATTATCCGTGAAATCACGTATAATACTCGATATTAGGGTATCATTGAATCCGCGAAATCGGGTATAGGAGGTGTAATCACCTAATAAAACTTAAACAATGGGATGGCGCATGTTGCCGAGTTAACTTTCATCTAGATACACATGATTTCTAAAGGTATCACTAGCCAAGTAAGAATTTGGGCGTCAAGATTAATGCGCTCGGGACAACAAATACCCGTGGAGCTCAGTACATTTCATGATCTGCACACAAAAAGGCGTTCGATTTGCTTTATATTTTTCCTTATGTTGAAAGTATATGCATCTTCCTAATGTTCATTCCCAACACAACCGAATTGTAAAGTATCAGAATTCGGGAATTTATAATAATTCCACATCAACACGACAAACATGAACAATTTGTAAATAAATCAAATTATACGGAAACACATTTCATACACCAGATATGATGCCAATGTATAAACAAGGGATTGTCTATCCTATCTAATTATGTGTCATTAATTACTTTCACATTCATCTTGTGCATAAAATCAAATTTATTTATGAATGTATAAATAATGTAATGATAAAAATGTCTAAAATTTCGGCTAAAAGAACCCTCTTTCTCTTTTTTGAAAATCTTTTCTTTTTTTATTTATCATTCAAACATATTTGCAGAATATGTCTTCAACATTTTAGTAGAGACAGTGATAGTTTCAGGAATACAGCTTATGAGAGAACATAACTGTTGATAGTTTAATTTCGCTAAGTCATCAATATTTTACCATTTCTTGTCGACTTCAAGGGGGGGGGGGGGGGGGGGGGGGGGGGGGCTAAAGGCTTCTTGACCACCTCTGACAAAACAACCTCGACTGTGTTCTACATGTGTCCAAGAGACCTCTCTTTGAATGTCACGGTCGGTTAAACTCGGTCATATATTTTTAATCGTAGGGAAGATTTATTCATCAAATAAAAATCATATACATTGTAGGTAAACAAAAAGCAACCTGTTATTTTCTAACACAATATAAGACTACAAGTAACTAGAATTCATGTTTATTTTTTAAACACATTTTTTCATTATAGATGAGTATTAGGAAAAGTTATTGCCATGAGTAATACGTATCATAGATAAAATAACTCAAAGAAAACTGTGACATATTGTCTAGAACCAATCAGATAGTGCGTTGTATTAGCATATTATAATGAGGTATAAGATAGCGATATAAAAACAAGAGGCCCATGGGCCACATCGCTCACCTGAGAAGCTTTGGCCATTCTGTTCTTTACCAGATTTCCCCCTTGTAATACATATTGTGACCCCACCCTTCCCACTTATCATAATTTAAACAATTTGAAATCTACACTGAAAGTATGCTTCCAAATAAGTTTCAGCTTTGATTTTCAGATTTTTTCTATATATTTCTATGTAAAACATTGATTCCCCATTGTGGCCCCGCCCAACCCCCAGGGGTCATGATTTGAACAATTTAGAATCTACACTACCCCAGGATGCTTCCAAATAAGTTCCAGCTTCCCTGGCTCAGTGGTTCTTGAGAAGAAGATTTTCAAAGATTTTTCCTATATATCTCTATGTAAAACACTGATTCCCCATTGTGGTCCTGTCCTACCCCCGGGGGTCATGATTTGAACAATTAAGAATCTACACTACCCCAGGATGCTTCCACATAAGTTTCAGCTTTTCTGGCTCAGTGGTTCTTGAGAAGAAGATTTTCAAAGATTTTTCCTATATATTTCTATGTAAAACATTGATTCCCCATTGTGGCCCCGCCCTACCCCCGGGGGGTCATGATTTGTACAATTTAGAATCTACACTACCCCAGGATGCTTCCACATAAGTTTCAGTTTTTCTGGCCCAGTGGTTCTTGAGAAGAAGATTTTCAAAAATTTTTCCTATATATTTCTATGTAAAACACTGATTCCCCATTGTGGCCCCGCCCTACCCCCGGGGGTCATGATTTGAACAATTTAGAATCTACATTACCCCAGGATGCTTCCACATAAGTTTCAGCTTTTCTGGCCCAGTGGTTCTTGAGAAGAAGATTTTCCAAGATTTTTCCTATATATTTCTATGTAAAACATTGATTCCCGATTGTGGCCCTGCCCTACCCCCGGGGGTCATGATTTGAACAATTTAGAATCTACACTACCCCAGGATGCATCCACATAAGTTTCAGCTTTACTGGCCCAGTGGTTCTTGAGAAGAAGATTTTTTAATGACCCAGCCCTATTTTTGTCTTTTCTTGATTATCTCCCCTTGCGAGGGGATATGTCCCTTCATTTTAACAATTTAAATTCCCCTTCACCCAAGGATGCTTTGTACCAAGTTTGGTCAAAATTGGCCCAGTGGTTCTTGAGAAGAAGTCGAAAATGTGAAAAGTTTACAGACGGACGGATGGACGGACGGACAGACAGACGGACAGACAGACAGACGAATGACGGACAAAATGTGATCAGAAAAGCTCACTTGAGCCTTCGGCTCAGGTGAGCTAAAAAACAAGAGATGTTTGTAAAACACTTATGCCCCCCCCCCCCCCACAAATTGGAATTTTTCTAAGTCCAAAAGGGCATAACTCTGTCAATTATGGTGTGATCATACCCAAAACAGAACTTGACCTAGATATTCATCTGACTAATTGGTATACTAAATTAAATTTCAATACCGGGGTATGTGCAACCTCTCCAAAGAAAATGAACGGAAACTGCAAACATTTGGAATTTTTCTAAGTCCTAGGGGCATAACTCTGTCAATTATGGTGCGATCGTACCCAAAACAGAACCTGACCTAGATATTCATCTGAATAATCTGTATACTTAATTCCATTTCAATATGTGCAACCTCTCCATAGAAAATGATCGGAAACTGCAAACATTTGGAATTTTTCTAAGTCCAAGGGGCATAACTCTGTCAATTATGGTGCGATCATACCCAAAACAGAACTTGACCTAGATATTCATCTGAATAATCTGTATACTTAATTCCATTTCAATATGTGCAACCTCTCCATAGAAAATGATCGGAAACTGCAAACATTTGGAATTTTTCTAAGTCCAAGGGGCATAACTCTGTCAATTATGGTGCGATCGTACCCAAAACAGAACTTGACCTAGATATCCATCTGATTAATTTGTATACTAAATTCCATTTCAATATATGCAACCTCTCCAAAGAAAATGAACGGAAACTGCAAATAATTGGAATTTTTCTATGTCCAAGGGGCATAACTCTGTCAATTATGGTGCAATCGTACCCAAAACAGAACTTGACCTAGATATTCATATGATATACCTGTATACCAAATTTCATTTCAGTATGTGCAAGGGTTATGAAGAAAATGAACGGAAACTAGATGGACCAAAAGACTGACATACCGACCGACCGACCGACAGACAGCAGCAAAGCAATATGCCCTCCCTTCTTCGAAGGGGGGCATAAATATAGAAGGTAAAGACGTAAAATTTACCCTGTCTATCAAATAGTATAATAAAGAAAGGAAGTGGCTACGATTTTTATGAAATTTTAATGTCCGATGAGGAATTATATTCCCAAAAAGTAAGACAAGAGTTTCCAAGGCAATTGAATACTCCATTATTTCAGTTTGTTCATTAACATGTTCATAAACGTAAAAACTATAAGAAATGTGAAAACTTGACTATGTAATTCATATTTCAATATGACTGTACCTCGATCTATATTGAGAAATTCAATGTATTATAAGCTCATGAAAAGATGTACACATTTGACTTTTATTTATAACCCCCCCCCCCCCCCCCAAAAAAAACAAGAAAATCCTGTTCATATGACTTCTCGCTCTCAATTTTCAGACAAATGCATAAAATAAAGGTAAAATAGCATATCTTGTATCCATTAAAATGCAACCAAAAAATTAACGGTGTCTTTGAATAAAAATTTCATGCTCAAAAAAGATACTCACCTTCAATTACATGTAGCTATTTTCAAACTGTTTTCCCGTGGGTATTTATTAAATCTTATTTTATTTTCTTCTTTATAATAACGTTGGTATTCTATTATGGCAGAGATATACAATTATGACTCGCTTATACTGTACTCTCTAACTGTTAGGAGTAATTTATATTTCACGAGAAAGGGACGCCATACATTTTTCAGTAAAAATACATAACACGGCGTTAGTCGTTTAATTTCTTTAAAATTTCACGTTTTGTGAATAGTGCACAAATTAGAAAATTAAATATATAGAATACTTTAATGGGAAATAAAGACAAACAAAGTGTAGTTATTTGTTTTTAGAAATTATATTGAAAAATAATAACGCCATTGTGTCCTCTTTGTTACCCCAGCAGTGTTTGTCGTGTGATTTTAAACTTATCTGACAACCGTATGAATTAGGTTTAATAAAAATAAATCCACAAGATACTGATGTACAAGTAATAGTTACTGGCATAATGCGCCGTTGCTTTATTCTTTAGTTCTTATAGAAAGTTGCACGGAATACCCGATTTTGCGGATTCAACGATACCCAAATATCGAGTATTATACGCGATTTTACGGATTATACCCGATTTCGAGTATTCTCTCCGACCTGTTTAAAACTGAGCAGATATTGAGCAGATCAAAAAACACCCTGAGTGAGCCTAATTTTTTGTTGTGTTCAAGGTTCTATTACTATGTATGATGCAGCAGACAGATAATTCTAAATGTGCCTTTACCTGGAAGTCTTGTCTATACATAGGATACACTGATGCTGTGGCTGGCACTCCAGGGTAGTTCCTGTGGCTCTGAGGATCCTGTGGGTAGGGGTACCCAGGCCGCTGTTGTACGGGGCTCTGGGGGCGGGGCCTTTTGTATGGAGAGGACACATCGTGCGGGTTGCCCGCTGGCCCTCTGAAAAGATACATACTGTGTATTGGTTGATGTTTAACTCTATAGTCACAAAATTTGGACCAACCTGTCTCATGTGTAGGCATTTCTAAAATAGAATGAGTTTGAAATCTGCCACGAGATGATTCAATACCATATACTTATTGGTTCAAAAATTTGAAGTAATTACTTTCAAACAGAAAAGCAGTTAAGGTTTAGCTGCAAATTTTGACCCCCCCCCCCCCCCCACCCTTTCTCTCAAATACAATGTCAGAAAATATATGATAAAAGCATTATTTTTAGCATTTAGTCATTTTTTAAAATGTCTATTGCATTCTACAATTTGTTAATTCTTGTTTTTTGTTTTGTTAATTAACTAAATGTCCAGGCTTAATTATGCTGGAAAAACAATATGGATTTAATTAATGAGGAAATCATGAAATATGTCTACATGACAGGTGTTTGAGAAGTTAATACACCAATAACATTTACAAAAGTACCAAAATGAAATCTTTATGAAACATTTCTGATAATTTGAAATATAAATGAAGATCAGATATTCTATGAACAACCTTAAATTTTAATTGAAAAACCTTTCACATTCATTAATTTCCTTTCACCTCCACCTGTGTTTATTACACATGCATAGCAATTCCCAATTAGCACATTTTTACAATTATTATTGTCTGCTTTGAGAAAAGACATGGTTAATCATTTAAAAGTTCAAATTCTCATACAGTGAGCATTTTAATAAAGCAAACTTTTTATTGATATTATTATATCATTTTTTTTTAGATTCTGACTTTAAAGTACATGTATGTCTATGAACCAATGTAATTAAAAAAAAAAGCAAAAACACAGACCCCTGGGTACTGTTTTGCGAAAGAACTTGCAACTACATGTATTTAAAATATACTGTAAAATCACATACTGTGGAATCATTTTAATTTGTAAGGCTCAGGGTTTGTGGGTAAGTAAAATTTTACCTGTTCGTGGGGATGTAATTTTGTGGGTTACTCGTAAATTCCATGGTTCAGTGAATCAATATGTTAACAAAATAAACGTTCATGGGGATGTAAATTCGGAGGTAAGGGTGACCCATGAAATTCACGAACATTCAAGTCCCCCCCACAAACAATGATGATTCTACAGTATTTTCTCTGGGTCAAATTTTGAGGTTTGATAAGAAGATATTGGTTTGTGGGGATTTGATTTCATGGTTTGAGAATAAAATGCACATGAAATTTTACATTTCAAGTAGATCATGAATTTGTGGGTCTCTCAATGCCTAAAAAACAAGGAAAATGAAACCCCCATAAATATTAGTGATTTCACTGTATCCATTTTTAATGGTGTTTACTTCACACCTTTCCTGCATGTTTTAGCATCAAGGATGACTTTGACTTATTCAAACTATACTGTAAATATTATGATATACACAGGGTTATTTGGTATGATGTTAAACACACTGTGAAATAATCACGAATGGTTTCTCCAAATAGTGTCAGATGTCAACACCAAATAAGCAATAATATCAGAAATGACAATGGCAGGAAGTAATATGCTCTCCAAACCCACGGAATCCCTGCAAATAATAAGCCAAGCATCAGATAAATTGATTATGTGGATTCTCATTTTGGAGTATTAAAAATCCCAAACATTATTTAGCAATATTTAGACAATTGCTTTATCATTATTATTAATAATAATATCTCAATAATTGTCCTGATCCATGTAATATTTTTCTTAAAGATTATACCTTCTCCAAATCCAATTTTAATTAGTGTTTATATGCAAAAGATGTCTATATTGTTTGTTAGTAACACAAAATTTTGTTAATCTTTTTTATCTGTATGCAATAAGATTCAACTGAAAAAAGGGGATGGGGATGTGCGGACACCTTTTCTGTCAAATGACCAGATATAAAAAGAAATATTGAAGTGCCTTTATTTGATCACCCTTTCTCAAAGACCTTAGAAAATTGTTCAGAAAACCCTTTTAGAAAGAAACTTGAACAAACAAGGGTAGTCAAAGGCAGAGCATCAACAAGAGTAGTGAAAGGCAGAGCATCAACAAGGGTAGTCAAAGGCAGAGCATCAACAAGGGGAGTGAAAGGCAGATTACATCAACAAGGGTAGTGAAAGGCAGAGCATCAACAAGGGTAGTGAAAGGTGGAGCATCAACAAGGATAGTGAAAGATGGAGCATCAACAAGGATAGTGAAAGATGGAGCATCAACAAGGATAGTGAAAGGTGGAGCATCAACAAGGGTAGTGAAAGGTGGAGCATCAACAAGGATAGTGAAAGGTGGAGTATCAACAAGGATAGTGAAAGATGGAGCATCAACAAGGATAGTAAAAGGTGGAGCATCAACAAGGGTAGTGAAAGGTGGAGCATCAACAAGGATAGTGAAAGGTGGAGCATCAACAAGGATAGTGAAAGGTGGAGTATCAACAAGGGGAGTGAAAGGCAGAGCATCAACAAGGGTAGTCAAAGGCAGAGCATCAACAAGGGGAGTGAAAGATGGAACATCAACAAGGGTAGTGAAAGGCGGAGCATCAACAAGGATAGTGAAAGATGGAGTATCAACAAGGGGAGTGAAAGGTGGAGCATCAACAAGGGTAGTCAAAGGCGGAGCATCAACAAGGGTAGTGAAAGGCGGAGCATCAACAAGGATAGTGAAAGGTGGAGTATCAACAAGGGGAGTGAAAGGTGGAGCATCAACAAGGGTAGTCAAAGGCGGAGCATAAACAAGGGTAGTGAAAGGCGGAGCATCAACAAGGGGAGTGAAAGGCGGAGCATTCCTTCGCAAAGAGCATATTAATCCCCAGTGCAAATTACATCACTTCCTTTTCTTACAGCACTAAATCAAACACTAACAAACACACAAACAATTGCAGTTCAACTATGTTTTTGTCAATGTTTCCTTTTTTATTGCATTTTAAACTAAATTGATCATATTGAATGCAGTTTGCATATTTATAGCTCTCTTGACTGAAGTAATTCAGCTTTAAATCAAATGGTTAATTGTGGGTCAACTCAAACAAATTTAAACTTAAAACTCATTTAACAATTAACATACATATATTTACAAACCAATCTGTCAGTTTATATCCAAGAAATTGTACAATTGTGTAATACAACAAGAAAAGAAAAAGTATGATTAGTTTTACAAAGTCGCAGGACTAAATACAAAAGTTAAAATGTACAGACCTATACCTTCTCCAAAAAGCAGAGGCATGAACTGCATTTTGATAAACCTGAGCATTCCACTGTTGTTGCTGTGAAAGCTGAACCTGAGCAATCTGGTTGCTGTGTTGCTGCACAGCAGATTGTGCTGTCATGGCTGGTGCTACATGCACCAAATGCTGTGCTTGAGTTTGCTGCAATTGCTGAACGCGATACTCAAAATTGTTGAACATGGCTACTTTTTTATGTCCACAATAATGTCGCAATCTGTCTTAATCAGAGAGATCTTGAGCACTCACTTTACCAAGTAATTGGCAATAAAAGTACCATTTAAACTGTAAAAGCCTAAAATCAAACTCTTCTATTCTTCATCTTTAAGACACCATTAGTTAATGATATCTAACAAAGTAGGAGAAAATGAAGGAAAAAAATTGAGACAGTTATTTGAGGTACTGTTGTTTTTTCGATGTATCCTTAATGCTTTCTTGGCTAGAATAACAATTTTAAAAAAAGGCACCTAATGTTTGGCAAGATAAAAGCACAAGGCACCAATTATTAGAGTCCAACAAAAATCAAAGCACCAAGTACAATCCAAAAATACTCCAAAAGATGTTAGCATCCCTGGAAATATTTTCAGTCTGTATACAAGCACAGTTTTCTAAAATCACATCATCTTTCTAGTCCTCCACATGGTGACAAGTCCTTTCTGCTTTAATTCGTCACAACGGCATGTGATTCGCATTTGAAGAGAAACTAGAACAATACTGCTCATAGCTTGTGTAAGTTCTCCAGAGCCAAAGCAGCATCAATATTTCTTTAGAAAAAAAATATACGATTAGAGGAGATATGTGCTATTGAACTTTCCAGGCAAATAAACCCACATTGACAACTGTCATCAGAAACTTGATTAAATTTCAATGGCAAACATCAAAATGCTCAAATCTCTTTTTAATTCCATCCAATAGCAAAAAATATCAAAGTTTTGGAATCGTTAGCCACAAGACAGTACTGCAATGACAGTTGTGTCTCCGATTTCAGATTGTATAATCCTTTATAATCCTGTTAGAACTATTGATTGCAATGACCATACCCGGTCAACAACCAGCTCTGTCACGAGTTCATTCCAAGAAAAAAAAAAACATTTTGGTAAAACAAAAAAAAAAAATTTCTTTTAAAAAAATTTTCCTTCCAGCCACATTTAAAATTCCATAGCTCTGAGAGAGAAAAGTCAATACTAGATTTACTGTTGGTGCCGACAAGGTACAGGGAATCTAATCACATGGTTATCTCTTGCTTTTGTCACTTTTCCTTGTATCACCAACCTTTCTTGTTAGTATACAATAGCTGTCAGCTTTAGCATCTGTAAGGTGACAATGTCTGCTATTCCTGGTACAATTTCTAAATCTTAATCAGACCTTCCTTTGTCACTTTTCTTATGTTCATCTGCTTCTGTCACCTCCACAAGTGATTTTTTCCCTGATTGCGCAACTTTTTTCAATCATAGATATTTCATAGAATTCCCCTTTGTTATTTAGTACAAATCACTTTCTGATACATGTATGCCGATTTGTTAGTGCAAATTGATTATTTTCTAAGGAGTATCACATTATAATTATAAAAACGTCATTGTTACATTTATTAAAACATGTCTAGATGTGACTAATTAGATTTGTCAATCTTGAGATTTCTGCGAGTCAGAGCTCAGCTTCAGCAATGATTAAATGATCAATTTTTTCTTCATTAACAGGCAATTAACAGGACTGTGGAGTGCTAATAAACTGCAACAGTTTGCTGACATTTGAACATTTTCATATACAATGTAATGGAATGAAATTA